TAAACTTTCACTTAGAGTACATGTTTCTATTGATTTACTAAGAATTAATATAAGCCATGCATGTTTACTCAAAAAAGGTAAACTTTTTACTTAAAAAATCTAAAATCAAAGGACTGAAATTTGTTGTTATGAAATTACGTGAAGACAAGTCTCATTGAACTATCTGCTAGAAATAAAGAAATTTTTTTATAGACTATAAGGCATGAATATAAGTTACTTATTATAATTATTATTATTTATAAGGATAGTTTAGTTTATCTATGCTACTTCTTTGTATTTGTATTTCCTTAGGAGTACTGCATATTTGTTATTAGTTCTAGAAATGATAAAAGCTATTTTTGTTGTAGCGGGAAGATGCATTTGCTATTTGTGTCATAAACTTAATTTTTCTATGGGTACACATGTAACTTTTATAGATAGAGAATTACTGATGGGATGGTTTCATAATGGAAATTCTCGCCTCGACCTTTTAGAAGGACACTTTTCCGTATGAGTGACATAGGATCCATATATTTTGTTAACTGGGTGTTGAGAGGACTCAATCTATTCATCACACTTCTTTGGTAGCATCAATATAAGTTATGAGAACAGTAGTTCTGTCTTAGAAAATAAAACGCCAAGGAGGAAAGGGGTTCCTAAATGTCACGTGATTGATAATTGAATGTTGCTTTACGTCATTTTAGAATTTTTCACCCAGATAAAGAGATCATCCACTTAAGGTGAAATGTCACAATTTTGATTTATGCATGGTTTCAGTATTGACCAACACCTACCGTGGGACAGGACCTCCTTCTTTAAGATAATATCCAAAAGACCCATGACTTTTACTTTCAATGCTGAGGACTTAGCAAAGGCACTGTCACTACCCGTGTTAAACACCTTAGTTCTTGACGCAGCAGGGAAAGAGAATTTAATCCTCAGGTTTCAAGAGTGCGAAAGGAGTGTCATCTCTTATGGTCCATTTTGTACCTGGGATGTTGTAGAACTCTGTTAGTCCATGGATATACTAAAACTTCTGATATGCGTAGTGGAAGGAACTGTTGAAAATCTACTCCATTGTATGGAGTGCCGTTGGGGGGGGGGGGGGGGGGGGGGCTCGACTTTATACATACATTTGTGTATTATAGTTTAGATAGCATTTTAAATTAAATATATTGTTTTACATGCGTAATTAAATTGAATCAAAGCAACTCTTACGATGTTATTTCATTTTACGTTGATATATATATTTTTAATACAACCGTTCTGAGTTTTATGTACTGACTATTAACATGTACTTGCATTAATATTTTCATCCTGTAAATTAATGAATTCTTTATTTTTTTTTGCAAATGTAGACTATATTTTATAAATTACAACTTAATTTTGATTTAATCACAAACAAAATTCATTCAATGCCTTAAACATTTGATACACAACTTTTATAGTTCAATAGAAACTTAGAAATCTCATTTCTTGCATGGGCATTTTATGCGTACAATAGGTACCACATCTATAGAAACAATGCACAATTACAATATAAAAATATATGAAATAATACTTTTAATTAAATGCTAATTAAACATTTTTCAACATCATACGAGGTGCATTTTATAAAGATTTACATTCAAAATATGCAAAATGTGAATGCTTGCCATAAAAAAATATCTTTAGCCTTAAATTAAACAATCTTTGCACTTATTACTTAAGTCTGATATGTTTCCGACATAAATAAACAATTTTTGATCATTTACATCTAGAAACATGGATAGAAACTTGAGGTAAATAGACCTACCCTCAATTTTTCTTTACTTGACGGCCGTTTGTAATCTTTAAATCACGCGACTTAGGTGATCGATATTGAAAAACAAACATCAAAATCATGAAATACAATGATTAAAGTTACATAAAATCACAAAATGGCCTTATAGAGAATCATCCTTTTTAATCTTTATACATTTACCAAAACATCTTTTGCTTAAGTGATCAATGTAAAACCTTGATTTAGGTTATATTACATGTTTGTAATGTTTAATAGTCCTGAGTATAAAATTTGAGAAGTCATATACTTGCAACTTTTGGTCTCTTTCTTAAAAAGAAATTTCTGAAAAACTGCATAAAAATAGCATGATCAAGCTATTCTGAATATCTTAATAAAGCTTTATAGATAAATCCAAAGATAGAGCTCAACCTGCTTATAAATATGAAGCAAGCCTGAAGTGAATACAAATGAAATAGAGTTCAAAGTGTCCACTTTAGAAATCTAAATTAGTAACACAAAAAGGGGTCACCCCACAAAAAGATTTAACACACAAAATGCGGATATTTAACACATCTGTGTACTAGGTATATCAACAGGCCAGTACAATCAGTACATTTAGCTATGTAGCTAGAATTACGTACCGTAGCTTTATTTAGCTACTTTAGGTAGCTTTATTTAGCTATTTCAATTCATCTTTTCACAATTTTGCTTTTTGTTTCAAAAAGACAAAAAAATCACAAGTAGATGTCCACTAATATTTATACTAGGGGTTATTTAAAAAGCAATCCAAAGCAGAGATAGTTAAAACATTGCATTTGAACACTTTGAGCAAAAGATGTATTTCCATTGTTTGAGTAACTGTGCACACCTCGTATGCGGTGAGGCGTGGATAAGTATGATTACTTCAAATTGTGCTGAATAATTACCAATCAATTATCGTGTTAACCAACACTGGTCTTCTTTGTTATTTCATTCAAGAACTAACTGTTTGGTCACAAATTAACTGTTGTATATATCCCTAAAACTTTAAGAACTTTGATTGCAATTGCGCAGAAAAAGACACATCTTCAAGAGAGATTTTTTCATGAATTTTTTTGCATATGAGTTCAAAGATGAAAATTACCACTGCATCAAAGTGCAATTTTCTGCACATCCTGAGAAGAGTGCTAATTTAAGAAATGAAATTGATTTGGTAGCTAAATAAAGTTACCTCAGGTGGGTAATTCAAACTACGTCTAGCTAAATCTAGTGATTGTACCAGACCTGATCAAGGAGCAAAATTGCAATTTGTACCATAATCGACCACACCAGCAATGTTCATTTTATTAAAAAACAAAACAATCATCAGATAAAATAGCTTTATTAATAACGATTAATCTAATGCCCATTTTCAGCAACTTTATCAAAATAAAAGCTAACAATTTAGCTCACAACCCAGCTTTTTGCGCTTTGAAATGGCGCATGAGAAACTCCTTAAAAAACACGTAAAAAATACTTACGTTTTCAAATAATATTAATGCAAATCTTTTTTCACGTAAACTTTGCTTTATCTTGACCTTTACCAACAAGGAATCAGGATTATCTAACAGTCCAGGAATAAATGCTGTGCAATGAAATAGCTGTAACTTGCGAAGTTCCTCTGTCTAAGAGCAGGCGTAAACAAATAATGACGTCAGTCTTGACAGGAAGAGGGTAAACCAAGTTCGAAAAAGAACGCCGAACTCCGAAATTCCCATATCGGATATTTACAGTTATCGTCAGTGTTTTTGATTGAACATTGATATATTTCTTCATATAAAATAAACTTCATAACAGTTAAATTAATTTTTTTTCTTAATTAATACACCAACTAAAAAGTTTTCACTTCCCCAGAAGTACGTGTAAAGTTGACAACTGACTACGATGCTACACTGAATGCCAATAATATGGAATATGTGTGAATAGTATCAGAAGGAGTCATAACGCAATATACCGATATACCAGTAGAATTGCACACCCCTTAAATTTAATTTCCACTGAACATAGTTTAAAAATATAAATCACAAGAATGTATATATAGGTCTCCCATCTTTTTAAAAGAATTTCCACCCATCTGTGATGCATCGGTTTTTGCAAAATCTGTTATTTACTAGAATTTTTCATACCCAATAGAAATATATCTTTTGGAAGAATGCTTTTCAATCGATGTAATGAAAAATATTGTTCAGTAAAAGAATTCAAAAATTAAATACTCTTTTTATTTTCTAGTAATCAATTATTTAAGTGGCACTAAGGGTAATAACTTTTTCTCATGTATCTTCATTCAGGCATTTTCTTTATAATACTTCTGACGGCGGGTGTTACCGGTCGGCAGGGGATGCTTACTCCTCCACCGCACTTGATCCCACCTCTGATGTTTGTAGAGGTCCGTGTTTGCTCTGTTTCCCGATTTGTGTTGTTTCAATGGACTTTTGAGCTTGATTACTGTTTGTTATCTCCATATGTGAAGTAAAATGGTTTTCCTTTTGTTCAAAATTCAAACATATTTATAAAGTTACAATTATTTTGAACCTACAGCATCAGAATTATGTATTTGAACCAGTTTTTACATAATTTAAATAATACTATTGACTAAATATGCACGATTTTTTAATGCTGAAATATACTTCTGTTTACTTATGTTTGGTGTTTTAAAACATATGGTAACCTATACATTTTTTGAGACTATCAATTGATTAATTATTAATTATCAATTGAAAATAAATACACCTTTTCTACTTTGAACCCATAAAATTGTAAGGGGGAAATACCTTAAGATATCAGACAAATATAAACAGAAGTATCTACATGTATCAACATTATAAAATCTCTCACATTTGGTACACAGCAATATCTAAATGACCGAAAAACTGGTTTAAATAACTTAATTCTAATTATCAATGTTCTAAAAAATCGTTACTTCAAACATGTGTATAAATTTTGTATATCGGGGAAACCAATCCCCAATAACAATTTAATAGAAAAAAATGCAAAAAGAACCTCCTCCCCTTTTTAAGTCACATATAATGATGTTTAAATTCTGCATGAAATATGTTTCCAAATCCGCTTGGTACTCTCTTCATGCATTAATAGAGAGCTTTAGTAACTTGAATACTCCGAACGTGTACGTGTAGCATACACGTACACGTACATAACCGCAACTTTTTATGCATTTGCGTTAAGTTACGCGTACGACCGGAAGTACTTGTAGCAGACGTAAACACTGTAAACATACACAAACATGTGTGAATTAAGGTAAGTAGAAACACAAGGAGAAATGAAAAAGACAAAGTTTAAAGAAATTCAAGTGTTTTTTAATTGTTAATAAAAATCCACACAGGTTTAAATTCAATTTTACAAACTTTTAGCAATGACGACTTGCTGTTCATGCTTGATGAGAGGATCATAGATCAAGAAGAATTATTCATTTTATGGTCATCTTTTAATTGCCGATCTCCCCAGCTTGCTCCTGATGGTCCTAGGTTAAATTTTGATGCACTAACAGATGAACAAAGTTTTTCGATGTTCAGGTACATGTGTAATAACTAGAGAAGGCCTAAACATCAAAATCATAGTAAAGGGTAGATAAAATTTTTATAAAACATAATGTTTTTTTTTTTTTAAGGGGGGGGGGGTGTTGCTTTTCTTGAAATCTGGATCGACAGCTGTAAATTCTTCGAAATGACGAACTAAAGATTAGAATAGAAAGGTATCAGCAGACATAACATTTATTTATAGGTTTGGCAAAGATGATGTATTGCGTTTACGGACTACTTTGGGTATTCCAGAGAAAATAATTTGCAAAAACAAATCGGTTTCCAGTAGCCTGGAAGCACTTTGTATACTTTTGCGCAGACTAGCGTACCCTAACAGATTGGCTGATCTTGTTCCCATATTTGGAAGAAGTGAGCCCGAGATGAGCTTGATCTTTAATTCCGTAATTTCTATTTTTTTTAATGCATATATTCCCTATAAATATTTTTTCATGGCTAAAACGTAAACGGATATTCAATCAATCTAAAGTGTAAAGTGAACTTTAAAAAAACATTAAGGATAAAAATAGACGATTTTAACAATGGATTAAGTATAAATAAATAAAGTACTTATTTTATAGACATTGGATTTCATTTACAAGGTGCATGGAGATAAACTGACGTCTCTAAACCAAAGATGGATACAAAGAGATTTGCAGACTTTGATGAATTCAGTAGATAGGCTTTGTCCTCTACAAAATTGTTGGGGATTTATTGATGGGACACTACGTCCAGTATCACGACCATCTCAGTATCAAGAAACTATTTACTCAGGTACATATACAAATACTTGCTTACTCATTTCAGGAATACCGAGGTATTTCAGAACAAAAACAGAACTCTAAAACTACAGTGAAAAGTCATTTATAATTTCCAAATGATGCAGTTCACGTGCCAGTCATACCAGACGTGTATGTATGAAAACATGCACTACTCATTTTAAATAAATTTAGTTTTTTAAACATATCAACATTTATCTTCTTAAAATACAGGGCACAAGCGGATACATGGGTTGAAATTTCAATCGGTAATGGCACCAAATGGTCTGATTGCCAATTTGTCAGGACCATACGAAGGAAAACGCCATGATGCAGGAATTTTTAGAGAAAGCAACCTTGCAAATGATCTCTTACGTAACATGAATTCCCCGAATGGCGAACCTTTTTGCCTATATGGCGATGCAGCATACCCCATCAACCAACATCTTCTCGGGCCCTTCAAAGGAATCAACCTTACAGCACAGGAATTGGAATTCAACAGACAAATGTCGTCCGTTCGACAATGTGTTGAATGGGGATTTAATAAAGTTTCTAAGTTATTTGCATTTTTAGGTCACCTGAGTCACTCAGGTGACCTATTGCTATCTGTTTTTGTCTGTCGTCGTTCGTCGTACGTCGTTCGTCGTTCGTCGTCAATCGGTCGTAAACTTTTGAACATTTTTAGCTTCTTCTCTGGAACCACTGAACCAATTTCAACCAATTTTGGCATATAGCATCTATGGGTGAAGGGGAACAAAAATTGTGAATTTCATGGTCCCTGCCCCCCTGGGGCCTGAGGGGTGGGGCTAAAACCACCAAAAATAATGCAATCTTTAAAAATCTTCTTCTTTACTCCTGGACATCAAGCAGTCAAACTGTTGGCATCATTGTAATAAGCATGGAGCCCTCTATCAAAATTGTGAAATTCATGGCCCCAGGGTCAGGGTTTCTGGCCCCAGGGTGGGGCTATATAGATCATATAGTGAAAGTGCATTATTTCTTTGAAAATCTTCTTCTCTGCTCCTGGGTATTAAATAAAGTTACTAAGTACATAGTTATGATGAGCAAGAGTGCCTCTTCCAAAATTGTGAAATTCATGGTCCCAGGGTCAGGGGTTCTGGTGTTAGGGTGAGGCTCTATTGATTATATATAGTGAAAATGCATTATTTCTTTGAAAATCTTCTTCTCTGCTCCTGGGTATTAAATAAAGGAACTAAGTACATAGTTATAATGAACAAGAGTGCCTCTTCCAAAATTGTGAAATTCATGGCCCCAGGGTCAGGGGTTCTGGTGTTAGGGCGGGGCTCTATAGATTATATAGTGAAAAAGCATTAATTCTTTGAAAATCTTCTTCTTTGCTCCTGGGCATTAAATAAAGTAACTAAGTACATAGTTATGATGAGCAAAAGTGCCTTTTCAAAAATTGTGAATTTCATGGCCCCAGGGTCAGGGGTTCTGGTGTTAGGGCAGGGCTCTATAGATTATATAGTGAAAATGCATTAATTCTTTGAAAATCTTCTTCTCTGCTACTGGATATTAAATAAAGTAACTAAGTACATAGTTATGATGAGCAAGAGTACCTCTTCCATAATTGTGAATTTCATGGCCCCAGGGTCAGGGGTTCTGGTGTTAGGGCGGGGCTCTATCGACTATATGGTGAAAATGCATTAATTCTTTGAAAATCTTCTCCTCTGCTCCTGCGCATTAAGGTGATAAACTAAGTACATAGTTATGATGAGGAGGTGGGCCTCTTCCAGAATTTTGAAAGCCATGGCCCCTGGGACAGGGGTTCTGGTGTTAGGGCGGGGCTCTATTGATTATATAGTGAAAATGCTTTAATTCTTTGAAAATCTTCTTCTCTGCTCCTGGGTATTATTTAAACAAACTAAGTACATGGTTATGATGCATAAGGATGCCTTTTCAAAAATTGTGAATTTCTTGGCCCCTGGGTCAGGGGTTCTGGTGTTAGGGCGGGGCTCTATAGATTATATAGTGAAAATGCATTGATTCTTTGAAAATCTTCTTCTCTGCTACTGGAGATTATATAAACAAACTAAGTGCATGATTATGATAGGCAAGGATGCCTCTTCCAAAATTTTTAAATATATGGCCTCAGTTTTTGGGGTTCTTGAGGGGGGGGGGGGGGCTCTATTGATTATATAGTGAAAAAGCATTAATTCTATTAATCATTAATTAATCCTGTCTGCTCCTTTGTGTTGAGCTGATAAATAAATTGCTTAGCTATGATGAAAATGGGAGCTTCGAACAGAATTTTTAAATCTTGTGGTCCTAGGGTCAGGGGTTCTGGCATAACGAAGGGGGGGGGGGCGGCAGCTTTTGATAATATAGTGGAAAAGTGTTAATTCTTTGAAGTCCATAGTTATGATGATGAGGGTAACTCTTCCAAATTTGTAAATTTCTTGACCCTTGGTCTTGGGTTCTGGTGTTAGGGTAAGGCTTTGTTGAATCTGTAGTGAAAATGCATTGTACCTGTGAAATTCTTCTCTGCTTCTGGACATATTGGAAGCAAACTGAGTAAAAGTTTAAATGATATGAGTATTTCTACCAGATTTTTAAACATCTGAACCATTGGTCTAAGCATTCTGGTCCTGGGCAGGGCTCTATTAATTTGTATTCTACTGAGAGAAGTTATTCCCCTTTTCCATTCACCTTTGATAATTAATCACTGTAAATAATGTATTTGAAAGGTTAATAGAATAAGATAATTATGCAAGAATGTTTATGGTATAATTAAAAAAGTACTTTCTTAGTTTTAATAAACAGGTAGACCTGTAAGTTATAGATAAATAAAAATGAGACAAAAATAACTTATCTTATTAAAAGTTCTTCAAAGACCATAAGAGAGGTCAATGCTAGAGGTCTTAGTATGGGTTATAAATAGTACAGAAGCACTAATAGTTTGTTAATAGTCTGCATAGTATTAAGTGGGGGACAGATTAGAACTTAATTTATGAGTTGATACTGAATACTAGACTAATTATTTTGTTGATCCTGATCTTCCTACTTCTCTTGCTTTAGGGCAACAAAGCTTCAACTATCAGTGTATTTAACTTCTAAATTGTTGTATTATACTCAGGTGACCGTTAAGGCCCTTGGGCCTCTTGTTAGACTTCAAAAAGAATCTAAAACTGTACCTGCAACCAGTAGGGAAGTATTACTTGGTTGGGGCTTTCTTGACAAATTGTCATACGTGCCTGTATGGAAGTGTCACGACTGACTATTTTGGAGTAGTACCCCCATCATTAGAGGAGTACGTTAATAACTTGTAGATTTAAACTGATTAAAGAAAAAAATTGATGAAACTTTTAATTACCCCCCCCCCCCCCTTCCCAAATCATTGTTGTTCATATGTATTGATTTAACTTGAACACCAGATAAGAACCATTGATAGTCATAATTGTAATTATTTAATTCTAATATTTATGACATCAACATCATAACAACATCAATAAAAGATTTTTACAACAGAAATTACTTGTTTACTTTGTTAATGAGTTCTTTGAACAGATCAATCATTGCTTTCCTTTCTTCCTTCTCCAACGCAAACCTCTCTTGGTCTAAGACCTGTCTTTTCTCCTCAACTTCTACCCGTTTCTTTTCTAATTCTATCTTTTCTTTGTTTAACTGGTTCTCCGAATCAGTCTTCTTCTGCAGAAACTCAATCATACTGGTAGCACTATTAGAAGATCTTTTTCTTTTCAAAACAGGCAGTTCATCGTCTTCACGAGGATCTGTAGTCAAACTGGCAGTTGCTAGAATGAAATTCAAAGGGTAATTTAGAATTATTATTAGTATGACATGATTTATGAATCTATGTATGTTGGACTCCATAAATACCTAAAGAAATTTCCTAATTTGTTTTTACTTTCGTAGTGAATTACTGTAAGAACATTTTAATTAAATCAAAATCCATCAGACATACATACATGCAGTCATGTTTTCCATAGCTTTTTTCCGAATCAGCATCCCCTTCTCATTCTCCTTCTGTTTCTCTTTCTTTTGCTGATGTTGTGACTCTGACAGCTCTAGAACTTCCCGCAATAATTGCTCCTTTTTACTGTAATCTTCATCGCAACCGGATCTGTGTGTATTAAAGTAAATTTTAAAAATCTTTCAACTTTAATTCCTTAATATATATTAAAAGAAAGTTTATCAAAGCCGAATGCAACAATTCATACCGGTAGAGTTTTTCCCGGTCTTCTGATTTAAAGTAGGACAATAAAAGAGAGGTCCGTTCCCTGCATCTTCTCCCATCTATGGCGACACCGTCATATATCTCCATAAAACTCTCTGCTATTTCAAACCACTTATTAGCAGCATCACCTGCATAAGGATTTACAGCAGTCACACATATAAGGAGGTCAATGTCATGCTTCACAGAGAAGCGAAACATCTTCTTCCTTGGAGTTTCAGCTGCTGCCATGTGTCAAGGACCTGCATTGAAATCTGTTGCATTAAATATTTTGAAGACTTATTTTTATTATTTTATCATATTTTTAATTTTCTAAGACTAAATAGGTACCCATAGTCTTAACTAATGAAAGCGAGTTATTATTATTATTATTATATCATAGAAATAAATTAATGTATTGTAGATTTTTTTTATTTCTGTTTAAAAACACAATATTTAGGCCAACAATAAAAAAAAAATATATTTGTCTGATGTAGTCCAACCGGGAAATGCAGATTGTTCGTTTTATTTTTTAAAGTTAAAGCTATATATGGCGTATCTGAGCTAAAAAAAAAATAAAAATACGAGATTGAGTGAACATGATAAATTGTTATTTACGTTCAAATTAAAATTTTCACCGATTTTGAGTTTGAATAACCCCATGTTTCTATTGTTAAATTGACTTTAAACTGTGTCTGATATTTAAATGCGGAGTCGGTGCTACACGCGATTAATTGCTTCTGCTTTGGATGTGTAAGCAAAAAATATATATGATTGATTTAGATTGTAATGTTTTCTTTGACACTGGGAACTTAGGCTTTATAAATCTTTATAACTGTTTTTAAAAAACATCTAGGTATAAAGGGGACGACCAGTTGATTCTGATGGGAAAATGGGGGAAGGGGGTTTGTTGGGTGGCAAATTTTGTCAAGAAAGATTATTTATCAATTATGCCCAAGATGACCAGATACAGATTAACTCTTTCTTTGGAAAAGGTAACCCCCCCCCCCCAAAAAAAAAAAAAAAAACACGCACAAAACAAAACAAACAAACAATGAAACTTCTTTCGTCAACACATCATATTTTGCATCAGTCAATGTGATACTGTTTATTTTGTTAAAGATGGAAGACATATTATTTATTTTTCAACATTACTTATTTCCAAAATTGAAATCTGCCAGCCCCCCCCCCCTCACCCCCACACAAACAACTCCCAACACATAGATCTAATGACACATACAGTTTCGTATTAAATAGCAGCTACGAAAGTTATGAAAAAATCTTATTGCATACATTATTATATAAATTTTTCATTGAGCCAACCGACTTTCCTCAATTTCAGGTTTTTCTCTACTTTCAAGTTTTGCATGATAGCGAGTGTCAGTGCACT